GTATTCGTTCCTGCTTCTCTCTGCCTCTGAGTGCTCCCAGTTGCACCCAACAGTCCGCTTCACACAGCTTCCTTTGGTGTCTCCTCTCTTCCTGTCAGGTAGTTCTCAGGGTAGAAAGTTACAAGGATACTCTTCCCAGTTACCTTCCGCAGCCCCCACTTAATTCCTAGGTAAAATATCAGTGCCAATTCCTGGACAAGCCCACCACTCTCACTCCAGCATCACTCCTCCCTCAGCCCCCAGGCAGCTCCAGCCCCTCTCCTGACTTCAGACTTCTTTAGTCACCGGTGACCATGGCTTCCAAAACCCAACAGACACACATCAACCTCCTTGCTAGAAGGCCACTTCCTCCCCTTATACCCATTTTACACCCAGGAAGGCCTAGAGAGGGCAAGGGACTTTACTAAGGCTACCCAGCTTACTCCTAGCAGACGAGAACCAGGACCAAAACCCAGGTGTCTCCCTACAAGGTTAAAGGTATAGCTGTCCTCTGATGTACTTTATATTCTGGAATTCCATGTAAAAGAGCATGTGAAAAAGGTTCTGCAGCCTTTTAAATAGGCCCTCTGGTAGAGGAGGGTATATGTGGGCTGTGGTGGGGCAACAACGCCTTTTTTCGAGCCTGGCCACACCTGAGAGAAAGCTATATCAGGTGAGAGTGGTAGCAGCAGGCAGGGACAGGGCAGAGCATGGCGACCTACCACTTGCTGAAAAGCCACTGAACTTGGGGCTTTGCAGAGAGGTGAGAAAAGTTCAGAGCCAAAATCTTCGTCTAGGAGAGCTAGGTTCAAATCCTGGCTGTATGCTGCAGGTATCTGAGCAGGTTAGGTAATATCTCTGGGTTCCATTGTCCTCAGCTGTTAAAATGGAGGTAATGATCTTTAACCCAGTACCCGCCTCAGGGCAAGCTCTGATCACTATTCTCACCTACATACATGAGTTCATCAGCTTCTCAGATCAACCCTAGGTTGTAGTAACTATTAGGCCCATTTTTACAAGGAGGGAGGTGGAGGCTGAGGACAACTAGGGTCATAGGATGGGGTGTGAATTCATATCTAATCTGCTAAACTCTATCCAGTCTCTCCAACCAGGCCTGGGCACCCTCCCTAATGTGGCAACCACAATGTGGCCTAGAGGGGTGGCCGTCAGGGCCAAGAGAGAGGTTGGCTTCTGCTCCCACTTCCTCAATAAGGAAACCAGGTCCCAAGAGGGAAGTGGCTTGCTCAAGGCCCTGGTCCCTGCAGCCACCAAGAGTGATATGGGCAAGAAAAGGAGAAAGTGATGATGGGTAGAGAAGCTGCTTCTCTACCCATCCAGTAGGGGCATGGCAGGATTCACCCAGAGAGAAAAGCAGACGGGCTATCCCTAAGCAGAAACAGGGCTCCCAGACCTTCCTCACACTGTCTTGAGGCTGAGGCAGGAATATGCTTCCTCCTGACCAGAGCTTTCCTGAGCACATCCTCCTAGAGCCTCAGAAGATCGCCTGCAGCCCCAGTCCAGTCCCTCCATGAGAAAAATGAGGCCCAGAGTGGTAACACAGCATGGATGGCAAGGCTTACAGTCTTACATCCGGCTTGAGCAAATCTCCCAAAGGAGGAGGCTGCATCTGCTGGCCACCTGACCCCTAACCCAAGGTGGATTGCCCTAGACACTATATTTGGGGGGCTTCTGGCTGCTTGCTGGCTGTCAGTACTTAGTATGCAGAGCCAACACAGGCCTTCTCCAAGGTAGCATTCCTCTGGCCCAGCCTGGACACAGAGCTGGCTTCTTTGAATGCATGACAACTGAATGACAGTCCAAGATACAAATTTTATTTGAGGTGGAGAGAATTTGATTAATCATTTTTAAAAGTTATTTTTTAAATCACTTTTTGATGTTTCAAACTGAAAAGTTGCTAGGATATCTATCGAATAACCAATGTGGATGTGCGGCTTTGGAGACAGACCAACCTGAGTTCATATCTCATTTTCTGACTTTTACCAGTGACCTTGGGCCATCACCTCCCCTCTTTAAGCCTCCTCTTGGCCATCCTTACCTCCTTGGGCATGCATTTTCAATAAGATAACTGCTGTGATGTTCTTGGTGCAGTATGTGGCAGGTAGACTCCATAAAAGGTGCTTTCGCAAAAGGCAAAGTCATGGGCAGGTTTCAGGTGACAGAGGCTGTGAGTGGATAGAAGGAAGTGAGAGGCCCTGCCTTCTGGTAGCTTTGGCATTGTTGAAATGTCAATCTTAGCCCATAAATGAGGGAGACCAGCAGGGAGTTCTTGGTACTTAAAAGGGGAGCTGGGTGGGTGCAGGAAAGGAAAGCCAGGGTGGGTCCCTGGAGGGGGTTATCTGGAGCTGAGCCTTGGACTGTGGGCCTGCAGGACCAATTGATTAACTGATTGAATGATAGGTTCACTCATTTCCTCAACAGCATCCTGAGCCTGACTCTGCCCATCTCTGAGCAGTGAGTCAGAACTAATTCCCTTGAGGAGGTTTCTGGAGTTGGGGTGAAGGATGAGGCTGCAGGCTGGGGGAAGTTTCAACCCATAGGGAGTCAGGCACTTCCTTGGAACAGGCTAGTCATTTGTGACCGTAGTTCTCTCGGCAGCAGTGCCTGCTAGCACCACCGTGGCTCTGAGAGGGGACTAGACAAGATTCTTGAAACTGTGGCCTTTGGGGACATGAATTCGTGGAGATCTAGCCTACAGGACCCCTTGCTGCCTTCTGCCTCCTCTAGAATGGCCAATGTAGGTTTGATGTTTGCTTCTCTTTATATTCTGGGGGTCTCACTAAGGACAGAGTGGTTTCCCTGGAGTGTCAGGCTGGGCATGGGGCTGGCAGGGAAGAGGAGGATGTCCTGTTGCAGGGCTGGGCTCCAGTCAGTGTTCCCTGCCCAGCTCCCTGCCATCTCTCCCAGGAGTAATAAGAAGTGCCCTTGTCCTGCCTCTGTCTTGTGTGGCCTCAGCCAGGCCCTTCCCTTCTCTGGGCTTCTGTTTCCTAGAGGAACTGGTGTCTAGCTTAGAGTGACCACCCTCATGGGGAGAAGGCAAGAAGCTGGGGCTCCATATTCATTTTCCTTCCTGGCTGCTACATGCTTCTGTCCTGTGGGTCCAGAGAGAGGGCAGAGGCTGAGGGGCAGGAAACCATTGTCTGCTGACTGATTAGTGGGCAAGTAGCTGTCCATAAAAGCCCCAGAAGTGAAAGCCTGGCCCAGCTTAGGGCAACAATACCAGCCTGGACGTTGGAGCTGACTTGGACCCCAGCACTGAACTACAGAGGGTTGGGGTAACAACTTCTCCATGCTGGGGCCTTGGGTGGCCCAACCAGGGCCCAAACATCCTGCTTGTCACCCTGTGGGCAGCTGAGCCTGGGCCTCGAAAATTTCTAGGAATGCTTATGGAAGAAAGAATGAGCATGGGATCCTAAGCATACTACAGGCCTGGGCGTGGGCTGGGCTTGACATGGGACCAGTTGCGGTAATTGGTGGAATTGCTGCCCTTTCTTACCAAATAGGACTCCCCTTAGACTTGGAAGAACAATACCTTCTCTTCCTAACCTAACAAAATGCCTCTTCCTGAAGGCAGCTCTCCTTTATTTTGACTCCTCCTCTGTCTCTCCCCCATATACCCATAACACCGCATTGGAAGGGAGGTGTGGGGCACCACCAGCTTTTGACTCTGAGAGGGTTAGACTTGCCACCTCCAAGTGTGTGTGTGGCCTTGCGAAAGCCTCCCTTGTTCTCTGAGCTCTGAGAGACAGGGCTATGTATGGTGTGTGAGATCAGGGAAACACTCTTTTCACTAGTCTCTGAGAATTTGGGGGTCTATGGGGAAAAAAGAAAACACTAGATGCCATGTATCAGGGCTTGCCCTGATTTTCAGTTGCCTGGCCAAGTGCCCTTACGGTTTTGGAGATCCTTCCTCAAGAATGAATGTGGGACTCAGAAATTCAAAAGCTCCTGCTCTCAGCATAACATTTCACCACTTACTCCCAGGATAGAGCTCCCTCCACTGGCAGTCAGGTGCCCAGAGATCTGGCAGGGAGCAACCTGGCCCCGGGACCCACTCCCTAGACCCAGAGATGTCTTAGGAGACCCTGTGTCTTCTCATAGTTTTTGAGTATGACCTTCATCCCCAACTTCCTGCACCAGTAGCTCGGAGTTCACTCCAGGGATAAGAAAGGAGAATCATATGAGTCAGGAACACCAGGACAGGCTGAGCAAGTGCCAGGCAAGCGAGCGGCAGAGATTCAGCTATGTCCTGGATTATCCAAGACACCGCTCCCCTCACCACCTTGGTTAAGAGGTGCACCTGGGGTGTACCAGGTGTTCTAGGTATGTGCCAGATGTGCTAAGTGAGCCAGATGTGTCCTACATGTCCTAGGTCTGTGAGGTATCCTACATGTGCTCTCTATGTGTGTTAAGGTATACTCCTGTCCTAACCGAAGTCACCCCAGGGACTACCTCACTGGGTGGGCATGAGAGGATTATCTGAACCCGCACAAAGAGCACATACGGTGTAGAGACAATATAGTATAGAGGTGAAGAGCATGGACTTGAGCCGGACAGCTTTCAAGCTGTGTCACTCTGGATTCACTTCACCAGTCTGTGCCTCAGTGTTCTTACTTAAACTGCTGAGATAATAGGGCTACGGAGATGATGAAAGGAGTGAGCAGTGCCACGCACCCTGTAAGGCTATCATTATGGGGTCTTGGTGGTGGCCCTTCCCATGGCTATCTTGTGTTGGAGTTGGTGTGTCCTGTACTGTGAGTTCTAATGCCAGGTGGATCTCACTTATATTACACCTGGCATCTCCACAGATGGTGGCAGGGGTTGGGGGTGGGGAGGACCTACTGTATGCCTGTGCGAATCCAGGTCCTGAATCTTAAGAGCCTACCCTTGAATGAGGAAGATGGAGGCAGATGGGGACATGGTCAGAGGGGTCCTTACTAGGCTATGTCCTGCCTCCCACTGCCTGTTGTGGCCCTCACACATCCCTCTATCCTATGTTACAGTGCAGGGACTTCACGGCCCATACAGGCTACGAAGTGCTGCTGCAGAGGCTGCTGGATGGCAGGAAGATGTGCAAGGACGTAGAGGAGCTGCTGAGGCAGAGGTGAGCATCACAGAGGATGTGCAAGGGCCAGCAAGGGAGGGATGCCACCCTCCACCCAGCTCCTGTGAGATGGCCAAGGCCCCTCATCCCAGCCAAGCTGCTGTCAAAGCATCCCCTACTTTAAAAAGTCATAAGTGCAGCTCTCCTGTGTTTCCCCAGATATAGGCCTCCCCCAGGTGGGAAAATAATCTGATGTACCTTCAAATTTACCTGTATTTGGCCAACATTTATTTAGAGATAGGGCTGGGGGACTTAACTTTCTCAAGGAGACCTGAGGGCCCACCTGTCCCCAAAGGCTGAGAGGATGGCTTTCCAGGATCCTGCCACAGACTTTTGAGGGACCTGCAGACATTTGAGGTACCTGCGGCCAATAGAACTGAAGGGGATACATTGCCTGCTCTTTGTTCTTGCAGGGCCCAAGCGGAGGAGCGCTATGGGAAAGAGCTGGTGCAGATTGCTCGGAAAGCAGGCGGCCAGACAGAGATCAAGTAAGAGGTCCCAAGCCCCAGCTCCCCAATCTTTTGCCAGGCATTTTCTGGGCATTTAAACAGGCTTTAGGATGGACTGGAGAGGGCCAAGGAAGTTGTGGATGGCTCCCAGGGCAAGAGTGCCTGGAAGACAACTCTCTTGGGTGTTGAGGGTCAGGTTCTGTGTGTGGGAGAAAATCCAGTGATCTGAGTGGCGGGAAGGCCCTGGGCAGGGAAGCAGGGACCATCTGTCCTCAGGTGCTTGCAGCACAGCTCATACACCCTGGGCAGCCTCCCCCAAAGTCCTGAGAGCCATCAGGGCCATGTGATAGGCCCTTCACTAGATGCCTGAGCTCTCTGGTTCAGCCTGGGCTGCAAGGTGGGAACGCACATGAATTCCAGTACCTGCTCCTCACCCACCAGCTGTGTGACCTTGAGCTAGTCACTGACATTGTGCCTCTGTTCCCTCATCAGGATAATAGCACAACCTTCCCAAAGAATTAAGCAAGTCCACGGGCTCTGCTCAGGAAGAGAGGCAATAAAGGAGCTGCTGCCGTGAAGCAGCCAGGGTTCTACAGCCCTGAGGCCTGGGTCTCTATGTACAGACTGCCAGGCAGGGGAACAGATAAGAAGAGAGTGAAGCCTTGTGGACAGCTGAAAGAGAACTTTCTAAGAGTAGAATGGAGTGGCTGCCTTGGGAAGGTGTGAACTCTCACCCTGGGTAAGAATCGAGCTGGCCTGAGGGGCAGACAGGGTGTTGGACCCAAGTTCTGAAAGGGTTCTGACGAGTACTTCTTTTACCAGAGAGCCAGCAACCTCTGACCCTTGTCCCTGCTCCCCTGGAGGTCAAGCCTGTGCGCGTCAGGCTCTGCCCAAGGAAAGTGGCCCCAAAATCTATCAACTCCAAAGCCTATAACTGGGTCCTCTCATTTAAGTGCTCTGAACACTCTCCAGCTCTTCTAAAGACACAGAGGACCCTGGCTGTTCCTTACTTCCAACCTGGAGCCAAAGAAAACATGGAAGAGCTAGAAGAAGGTTTAAAAGTGGTAGGAGCCAGGGGAGATGAACGTTCAATGCCCAAGGGTTCATATGTTGGGCCAGAAAGCATGAGCACAGCCCTAGAATGCATGAGCTCTAGTTCTCACTTGGCCTTTGTGAACCATGTGACTGTGGGCAATCCCTTAACCTCTCTTAGTTTGGTTCTCATCTGCCCACTCCAGTGGGCAGGGGACATGGTGAGGAATTAATGGAAGTCTGTTGGGACCCTTCTTTGTCTTCTCTAGTGGTGGGATGGGCTGTTGAGAGAGCATGACCAGGGAGGAGTTCCTGCCTGCCTCCTGGCCTTCCAGGCCAGCTGTGAAAGGAACACTTTCCCAGAAAGAGTGGATACCTCCCATGGGGTGCTGGAGAGAGTAATCTGGGAAGGGTTAAAGGGCTGTGAGTTGCAGGAGACTTAAAATGGGGAAGGATAACCCACCGAGAAAGCAAAAAATGGGAGTGGAGCCAGGGGGCCAGCAGGAAGGGCGGGAGGTACACAATATCTTGTCCCATTTTTAGAACTCTGCAGTGACCAGAGAGAAGTTCTGGGCAGCCCTGATTCCCTGTGTGGTCATAGGAGGCTGAGTGGGGCAAGATCTGCCCTGCTCTATTTACTGTGTGACCATGGGATGATCGCTCCCCCTCTCTAAAAGGAGAGAGTCATCCTCAAGATTTGCTCTGGGCAATCACAATATCAAGCAGAGAGCACCAACCCACGGAAATGCTCAATAAACAGCGGGGCTCTTTACAATCTCACAGGCCCCTTCCTAAGTCAGATTAATTGAGGCTGCCCCGCTTAGCTTGAGGCTGAGAAGTCCAAGTGGGCAGCCTCAATCATTTCCTTGGGGACCAGCTCCTCCCTGGACCAGATTGCTAGAAACTGGGAGCCCTTGGATGGAGAGACTTCATCCAACATGGAAGCCCAGGGCAGGAAACAGAGTCAGGTTTTGCCTTGTTGCCCACCGGGAGGAGCTGGCACCTGGGCTTGGTGTGCCTAACCTGCAGCAGGAGCGACAGAAATGTGGCTCACAGGTCGGGAGTAGTGTGTACAAAGTAGCACTGTCCTGAGTCCCCATCAAGCTGGGGAGGCCAGAGGAATAGGGCAGAGCTGGGTGGACTGGGGAGGGCACCTCCTGGGAGAGGCAGAGAGGGAAGAAAGGCAGCTTCCTATCAGAGGACTGGCATGGACAAAAGCTAGAGGTGGGAAAGTGCAGGGCATATTCAGAGCCAGTGAATGACAAAGGCAGTAGTGGAACCATCTCACCTTACTCGCTGCCTCCCTTAGGGCCATGCCCCATGTGACTCCCAGCTCAGCTGATTGCACACAACAGGTGCTTAATCAGTGTTGCTGTTGACCCACGTGGCATGTACGAGGGTTAGTGAGACCAATCAATCATTCCTTTTTTTAACTGTGGGCCAAGCACCCATCATCCATCAATTTATTTAGCAAGTATGTATGGAATACCTACTATATGCCATGCCCTAAGCTGAGTTGGGGCGGGGGGTCAAAAATTAAAAAATAAATAAAGAGTCCCACCATCCTTTAGCGAGTCTGGCACATTGAGGGTGACTTCATTCCCCCGCCCAGTTCTTTGCTTCAGAACCTCCCTTTAGAGCCCTCTCATGCACAGTTCCTCTAGAAAGCTCCCCCAGACACTCCAGCCTTGCCTGACTGTGTTAAGGTCTTGCCTTAGATCAGGTCACCCCATTCCCATACTAACCTGGAGGTCTCTTTGTGGGAAGAGTGAATGACAGCCTGGAATGCTTCCATGTTGTGGGCACTTGAGGGGGTGTATTTGGGGTCAGCACCTCTGAGAAAGGTGGCCTGGCCGTTCATTGTAGAGGCTGGCACTTCCTCCTACC